CTTTTATAAAATAGGTAACTGTTCCAATAACCATGTCTATTACCCAGGAAACAGACAGAATTATTTGTTCAACTAATATTCTTCATCAAGTCGATCAGACACTCCGAAGAGCTGTCTCTCAGACAATGAAGGAAGCAAAAGGTATGGTGGGTAGTTAAGATTCTGTTCACTGCTACTCTTGTTCCCGGGACGTGGGTAGTTTATTTGCTTTCACTCATAAAATTTACATTAGATTTTCAGTTAAAATATTGCAACTTGGTTATATAGCACTAGAACTTCTACCTCTGGAACCAGGTATTCATCCATCCAGTAGGTTTTTATTGAGTGGCTACTCTGTACTAGTCTTTATTCTAGATATTGGGGAGCGGGGAGGGAGTAGAACGTCATAGTGAGGAAACAGACAAATAAATAAACATATGAACATATGCTGTTGCTCTGAAGAAGAATGAAGCAGGGGAGGGCAGTGTAGAGTGATGGGAGGGCTTATTTGTTAAAGGGCAATCAGGAAGACTTCTCATTTAAGCAGAGATGTTAAATGAAATGAAACAGCAAGCCATGCTGCTGTCTGGAGGGTCACTCCAGGCCATGGACACATCAAGTGCAAAAGCCCACAGGTAAAGTTGTTTGGTATGTTCTAGAACAGAAAAGAAGCCAGTGAGTCTTGGGGGTCAAGTAAGGAGTGGTGAGAGGCAGTCAGAGGCCAGATGTAAATGCAGCAGGGAGTCTGAACAAGCACAGCGCACTGCCAGTCTGAACTGAGATGTTGTAACTAGAGTTTTATAAAATAATTTAAGTTTTAAACATTGAACTCCTTGCTATATTTAAAAGTTGATTCAAAAAATAACAGCTTAACATTTCTTGAACTCCTTTTATATGGTCAGTGCCTTATAAATATTGTTTATATTCTTTAGAATCCTACAAGGTAAGTGTAATTTTACAGATGGGAAAATGGAGGGAATCAAGTAAGTTGCCCCAGGCTGAACAGCTGCTAAATACTTGGGGCTCAGACTTAAGTCTAATTCTAGTCTGTGCTTTCTGTTGTACTCCCCAGCATCACCAATATTTATTATTACTACCTTTTCAAAAACTTAGAATATCGGGAAAAGAAACAATACACTAACCATATTGTGCTTTTCAACCTTTACCATGATCTGTAAATAGATTTTGTTTTGTAACCTAACGTGTAGCCCAGTACATGAACATACTCGTGCACAGAAACAAGTCATGCAAAACTCTCATGTGTTTAATGAACTCTACTATGTTCTCTTTGATCCCATCTTAGAAAAACACTGGTTGCAACTTGCGATTCACTTATGAGTTACAATCTATAGCCTGAAGAATAGGATTGGAACAAAAATGGTTTCATAATCAGAATTTTAAAAATAGGTGTAGGAGTTCTTTCTACCATTTGCCTTTCATAACGTGAAAGGAAAAGGGAAGAGAGCCCTGCTCAAATCGCTCTTGACTCTTCCTACCCATTAAAAAAATGTTCTTGAGTGGAGGTGATACTAGATTCTAGAACTGTACTTTAATTAAAAATTCTGTTCTCCTTCCATTAAGGAAGTGCAACAACATCCTGCAGAATGGAAGATACTCGCAAGCCATGTATCTCATAAGGGACCCGTATCCAAAATATATAAAGGACTCTCACCATCAATAATAAAGACAAATAACCCAATTTTAAAAGTGGGCAAAGAATCTGGAATATCTCCAGGGTGGATATACAAATGGCCAATCACCACATGAAAACATGGTTGGCATCATTAGTCATCCAGGGAACGCAAATGAAAACTACAGTGAAATACCCTTGCACACCCACTAGGACAGCTAGAACCCAAAAAGTCCAAGTGTTAGTGAGGATGTGCAGAAATCAGAACCCACACGCACCGCTGACGGGGATCCGTAAGATGGCGCAGTTGCCTTGCAAAACAGCCTTAGTACTTCCTCAGATGATTAACTACAGTTACTTTGAGACCTAGAAATAAAAATACATATTCACATAAAAGTTTGTACAAAAATGCTTATAGCAATTATTCCTAGTGGCCAAAAAGTAGAAGCAACCCAAATGTCCATCAGCTGACAAATGGATAAAAACAAAATGTGGTCTATCCATACAATGGATTATTCAGCCATAGAAACAAAGTACTATGTGGATGAACCTTGAAAACACATGCAAAGTGAAAGAAGCCAGGCATGAAAGGCCATATGTCATGAGTCCAGTCATGTGAAATGTCCAGAACAGGGGAATCTAGGAGACACAAAATAGATCAGTGGTTGTGTAGGGACTGGGGCAGGGAGAGGGGGAATGGAGCAGGTGATAGCTAAAGGGTACAGGTTTTTGAGATGATAAAAATGTTCTAAAATTGACTGTGGTAATCATTGAGAATATCTGTGAATATACTGAAACCATTGAATTGTTGAAACAGATAAATTGTATATAATGTGAATTCTCTCTCTATAAAACTGTTCAACAAAAAAAACTTGGTTCTCAGTCACACAACCCACATGGCTAGTGACTGCTGGATTAAATGGGGCAGATATAGAACATTTCCATCATTGTAGAAAGTAATGCTGGACAACTGTTCTAACTTCACAGCTTCAAATCCAAACTGTCATTTTCTAGCACTGCTTTTTTGCCTGACAGCCTGTTAATTCAATAAGATTGTAAGTCAACTATTTTATGTCAACAAAAAAATCCCTTTCCAGTTTGTCTTTTCTGCTCACTTATTACACCAACTCAATTGTGATTATTTATGATTTGTCTGAAGTAATCAGATTAATTTTCTGGTGTTACCAGAGAGTCCAGCTTGATTTAATTTACACAAATAATTGGGGAATATCTTTATTTTAGATGAACAACTGCTTCCTTACAAGTTGAAGCTTCTAGCAGAAGAACTTAACAAGCTCAAAGCGAAGTTTTTGGAAGACCTAAGACAAGGAAACAAAAAGTACCTGTGCTTTCGTGAAACCATTGACTTATCAGATGTTATTTCTTTTTTCCATTATGAAAAAGATAACATTGTACAGAAATATTTTTCAAAGCAGCATTAAAACTTCTGAATTTCCAATCGAATACATATTTTGGTTAAGATTTTGCAAACTAATGAGAACAATGCTGTAGCACTGGATGTTTGCTAGGCCAATGAAGTGAATTGCCAAGACCTATTTAAAAAAATAATTATTCCAAAAGATCCATTTGTCATAACAAATTACTTCAGTCACTTGTCAGATGTGACATGCATAATTAAGCATCAGAAGCAGCCTTCCTCATTTATGTGCCAGAACACCTGGAGGGTGGGTGCGGGGCAGGGGTCACATCTTAAATAAAGAGAAGCAGCTAGGAAGGAGACAAGATGCTGATAATGGAACTGTTTTTGTTTTTAACTATGCAACAGATCTCATGAGTGAGGCATTCCACAAATCCAAACCAATGTAGCCATAAGACCTTTTTAAAAAAAATTAACATTTTACAAACTGGAAAATTACTAAAAAACTCATAGACTTACCATATGATCCAGCAATCCCATTCCTGGGTATATATCCAGAGGGAACCTTAATTCAAAAAGACACATGCACCCCAACGTTCATAGCAGCACTGCGTACAATAGCCACGACATGGAAACAACCTAAATGTCCATCGACACATGAATGGATAAAGGAGCTGTAGTATATTTATACAATGGGATACTACTCGGCCATAAAAAATAATAAAGTAATGCCATTTGCAGCAACATGGATGAACCTGGACAATGTCATTCTAAGTGAAGTGGGCCAGAAAGAGAAAGAAATTACTTACATGTGGAATCTTTAAAAAAAAAAAAAGACAAACTTATTTACAAAATAGAAAGAGACTCACAGACATAGAAAACAAACTTATGGTTACAGGGGGGAGGGGAGGAAGTGGGTGGGAATTCAAGATTTGCAGATACTAGTATATATAAAATGGATAAACAACAAGTTTATACTGTACAGCACAGGGACCCATATTCAATATCTTGTAGTAACTTATGGTGAAAAAGAATATGAAAACAAACATATGCATGTTTCTATATGACTGAAGTATTGTGTTGTACCCCAGAAATTGACACAACATTGTAAACTGATTATACTTCAATTAAAAATATATATATATATATGAAACTAATTGGATCCTAGTTTTAAAAAAAAAAATCGAGATCATTAGAAAGTTATTTTTTATTCACATATTACAAAAGCAAAGCTTCATTCACAATATGATCTACATACTAGTTATTTCAGCATTAAACTGCTTTCTGGAATCCCTAAACAATATAGTGTGTTTTGCAACCATACTCAAGTTTTATGTTTTACATACAAAATATGTTCTTTACATCAAAGTACATATTAACAAAAACAAGTTCTAGAAATCATATACCCTCTAAGACTATTTAATGAAAAGTCCTTAGCAGGGAATTTTTTAAAAAATAGTACATCCATTTGATAAATATTTTTGTAGAACTTAAATGAGGTTTATCTCTGAACATTTCTTTTAAAGTAATACTCCGTTTGTCAGACAATTCTGCAGATGAATGGCAAACACTTATTTCTAAAATGAAATAGCACTGGAATATATCCAGTGAAATTTTTTTCAAAGTAAAAGTCTAGCCTTTACTTAAACTTCAAGAAGTTGTAGCTCCATACTATATTAGTAAAATCTGAAATAAAATTATTCCCTGTTAATCTCTTCACAGTTTCTTAAAAAAATATTAGTGGAGATAAATTATCTACCAACTTTAAAAATCTAAACTTATGTTCACTGAACAAAAATAAATTTAGTTTCAGAACATTGCCTGTTAACAGCAAAGTAGTATAAATAGTACATGTTAAACTTTTATCAACTCATTTCTATAAAATATTTGATTAAAAATAAAATGGGAAAAACATACTCAATACTTAATGGAAGATAACATCTTTCCAATACAGAATTTAACTCAGAAAATTTAAATAAAATCCTAAATATTTTTAAAAATAGAACACTAAAAAAGTTTTTAAGGTAGATTTGCTTCAAAAACTTTAGTGCATTTAAAATTAACTGTAGCTTTCAAGCACTGATACCTTTGGAATACCAACTGTGCTCTTTTAAGTCATAGAAATTTTAAAATTATACATTCTAGTCTGTAATTACAAAACAAAATTGTTTAAAATGCACTTTCAAAATACCTATCTTTAGTTGTTGGGAAAAAATGTCTTTGTCACTATTTGGCCCAGAATATACAGCTAATAAACTGATTTTAACATCAGAGTTCTTCCTTTTTGTTTAATGAAAACTTTCATTTTCTATTTTGTGGTATTGCTTTTATTTGAATAAAAGAAAAGAAAAAAAATAACTGCAAAAGCTTCCAAATGACAGCAGGCTGTTTCTGTCTGGCAATAAATATACACTTGGACCAAATTACACATTTGGGAATGGCTGCAGTAAAACTAACCCGAGCAGCAAGCACTCTAGGCGACAGAACAGAACAGACTGCAGGCTTTACATTCACAACCTCAGACCCACCAGGAGAGGGTTGTAGTTGTTTGGAGAAACTCCTTGATGCTGCTCTTTGAACAATGCAGTGGAGGCCAGTTTAGACTGGATATTAAACCACAAGAATTCATTTTAATGGCTTTCTAGCATTTGGAAGGGAGGGCAGAAGTTCCACTAACTTGGCACTTGGGGGTTTTTGTGGACATTTACCATCAGTATTTCCCTTTCATTTACTGTAAGTGCAGAGGTCCTTCTTAGTTAATGCTTAATGGCTAGACTATTCTCTTTTAAAAAGCCAATTAGTAACACTTTCAAGATTTGAACCAAATTAAAAAAACAAAATTTTTGCAAAGTACACAGAAACCAACAGTTAGTAACAATATATTTTATTGTTTGACCAAGCTGTCCTCAGAGTAAGCTAGTTATTACACAATATAAAAACAGCCTCCTAGTCAAAATTATTTATCTAGATTTATATAGCAAGATTTTTTTAAACAAATTATATATCATGTTTAACTGCATTTTTATATCTGTTTTCACGCTTTTTATCCTCTTCTACTAAGGCGATGATCCAATCAGTTTCCATACAGTTTCCTGTTATACATGAAAGGCTGGTAAAACTGCAAACAGGCATTACAACTTGAATTCACAGAAAATATTTTAAATAGCCAGTTTTGAAGAGGAGACCAGAATTCGTTTGGACATAATGTTCTCATTTTTGTAAATGCTACTTCACCATCACCTTTTCCCATGTATTTCTATACCTATCTTTTCTAGAAAGTTACGGGCAATAAATGGGATAGAAGGCAGGAAAAGGAAGCCTCAGATTTTTTTGGAAAGACATTTACTAGGATGGATGACTTCCACTGTACCTCTTTGGTCATCAAAGGAATAGAAGAAATAAGATTCTCCATAGTTATCAACCTCATGTGTTACACAGAATGAAGATTCAGATGAAAGATTCAAAGTAAAAGAAAAAAGGCATCTTCATAGATAATCCTAATATTTCTAGAGTTCTCACATATTTACCTGTGGTTTTTAAAATAAATTACAAGTATAATAAAAAGAATCTAAAAGAAAACTGATGTGTCTTTAAACTAGAAATTGAATAAGCAGGTATTTTAAATTCCACTTTCAATTTAAAGTCTTAAGTTTCTTTTCAGAACTTCTACCTCATATTTTTATAACTTTAATTTTAAAAGAATTAAATGTTCTCCATTTCCCCTTGTGGAAAAAAGAAAGATTTACTATACTGAAATTGCTCTACTGTTATCGGTTGAAATTAAACTACTGATTCAGCTAAGCTATGTTAACTAAATAGTTTTCCATTAAGGGCAATTTTAAAAGCAATTCTACTGAACACTGAAATAAGCTGTAACAGATTTCTTTGTAAGAGAAAGTAATTTATTCTACCATTTTGAAATTATGGCAAAAATAACATCTAGCTGCAATGTAGATACTGAAATATGAAATACCAAGAGTATCTATCGGTCTGGAAGTTTTTATGGATCATAAATGCAAAATTATGACTGCACTCCAATTCTCAAACGTCTAAATGAAAGGAAAAAAAGGACACCAATGGGTCCAACTGTTCTAATACATAAATGACCTTGACCAGGTTTTTATGGGGAAAAAGAAATTTTGTTTCCACTGTCAAATTTATACTCTACAATGTATAAACTTCAAATTAGCAGACACCTTATTAAAGATGAGTCCCCCACCCCTCTCCCCCAGAAAAACAACGGTAAACTACAAAACACAAAAAGGCAAAACCAAGTAAAGCTAAATGTGATTGTTTTCAATCAGTGTTGGTTATGCTGCCCTCTTGCAAAATGACAGGCAAAATCATACTTGTTTTTACATTTGCATCCACATATGTTACACTGAAAAGGATTTTCATACCCATGACATCCCATATGAATAGTGTAAAGGATATTGTCGGCAAAGTACATGTCACAGTGCTGGCAGTGGTGCAGAAGCTGCGGGTCCTGGACCGGCAGGGTTGGAGCTGGAGTGCTTGGCTGGCTGTTTCCTATGCTAGGAGTACTCGTGTGGGCACTGGGCTCACTGCTCGGACCTGCCACCGGACTATAGTTCCTCTGACTGTGTGATGGCCGAGGTTCAGGGCTTGTGGGAGAGGAGCTCTGAGGAATACTCGTAGACACGGCGGAAACGACTGCCTGGGCAGAGGGCTGCTGCATCATGAAGGGCTTCTCATCAGGGCAGGGAACTACATCAGGCGACGCGGGGTTTTGGTTTTCAGGTGGCAAACTGGACAGCTGTCCTGCTAGAGTTGAGAGCTGGTTTAGAGGGTTTTCAACCATGAGTTCCTGGGGGTCCCTTGGCAGGCCACCCGCTGGTGTGGTTTTTGCCATGCTTTCATAGGAGTCTGTCTGGATGTTCGGGATTTCATGGGTAAAATCATTCAGGTAGTCTGGCTTCTGAACCACCATGGAAGGCGGGCTGAGGTTGATCAGCGCTCTTCTGCTGTAGCCCAGATTGCTGGTTTTTTTCTGCAAAACCCCCCACATTTTCTTGCTGCTTAAGGAAGACCTAGTACCTTTAATTGGTACCATTTTATGCTTGCGCCTTCGATGGTGGGACAGGTTACTTCGGTCACTGCAGCGGAAGGAACACAGTTCACATTTGTATGGTTTTTCTCCTGTATGGGAACGCATATGGGCTTCCAGATGACGCTCATAAGCAGATGCAAATGGACATAAGTGACATCTATGAGGTTTCTCACCTGTTTCAAAAGAAAATGGGGGAGAAACTTAAAGAGTCGCTCATTTACGAAAGGTTTCATGTTTTGTCCATTCATTAGAGTTAGAAGTTGATTAAAATAAAATGCTTTTCCGAAATGCATGTTTGCACAAACGATTATTAAACTTTGTTAAGAAACTTGCAAACTTAAAGCTTAAGAACTCATCAGGAACATTCTGAGATGTACAGATATATTCCATTAGTCAATACAGTATAAAAACTGTTATGGCTTCAACTGGAATTTGGAGAAAGAAGAAACAGCACAACTGACAATAATAGTCCCTACATAATAATGGTATTATCAAAGTTATACCCCAGAGTTATATGGTCACGTACACGTCTACACATGAACACTTATTCACACGCACACAAGTATTTCTCAGGAAAAAAAATACAAAAAACCTTTTTATTTTTTTTAAAAAGTCCTTATATTAGACAGAAAGCTCAAAGTTGAAACAGGCTTCCTAGTTCAAGTATAAGTTATGCAAAATGTCCTCTCACAATGGCCAGTACTTCACTTCTGCCTTCCTCCTCTCCTCTTCAGTTGCCAGAGGGACAATTTTAGTGCTCTCAGTTGGAGATGGCCCAAATATGTAAAATAAACATTGGGAATATGAGATTTGGAATCATTCATTCATTCATTCAACAAATAAGTACTGAGTACCTACTATGTGTCAGATGCTCTGCTAGGCTCTGGGGGCACAGATGGCCCTGACACAATCCCTGTCCTCAAGTTTTCAGGTCACCAAAACACAGCACGGGAAGCATTGTGATGAGGGAGCACTGGAAGCTGTGCGGCACGCAGGAGGGACACCTGACCTGGCCTTGGGCCAGGGCAGGGCGTAGTTAGGAAGGTTGCAGAGGGATGGCTAAGGTGAGATCTGAGGGTTAGCAGCGTAGTCTGCAACTGTATAGAAAAATTCCCTGGTCTGCAACTAAAACATACTCAGTAAGGATAAAGATAAAAACATTTTATCGCTTCATACTGTCTTCAGCATTGACTTACCCAACCCGAGAAGCAGACAGATGTCGAGATTATTTAGATCAAGAAAGTAGATGGCTAAGGAAGGGGAAGCTCTACAAGGGGCCCCAATTCCTTGTATGCTGTTGTGCTACTGCTTTGTAAAAGTGGAGTCACTTGTCCATTTAGTCAAACCTTAACACCAATCTTCACTTTTAAATTATCACAACTATTTATATTACTTGCCCTCCTTGGCCCCTTTCCTGCCCACAAAGAAATGCCTTCTCCAGCCGCCTCTCTGTTACCTGTGTGGATTCTAATGTGTTCAATGAGCCGGGCGGTTCCTTTGCTGGCATAGTTGCAGTATCGACACTTGAGCTTCCCATCAAAGGTCCTTTCAAACCCGTCTACTAACATTCCTGAGTTTTCATCCAGGGAAACTTCAACAGATGGGTGATCAAGTCCATTTTGATCACCATCTGTTCCAGCTATAAACAAAGTATAGCAAAAGAAATTATGCATCTCAGAGTCAACTCAATTTAGCAATTTAGTCTTGAATGGTAGAAAATCTTTCATAAATTGACAGTTCACTTAGCACAAAAGTTAAATTCATAAAATTACAGACTTTCCGAACTGAGCTTAATTTTATAAAAACAGCATTATATTCTGTTTTTCAAAGCCTTTTATAGGGGGATCTCAAATTGCTAGCATATAAATTATATCATTCCTTAACATGCTTTTGAGGAAGAAAACAGGATCTTATCTTTATTTGATAGGTAAGGAGACAAAGGGGAAAAAATAGTGATGGCAGACACACTTATTTAAGATTCCAGCCACTTCTACAAATATAATGGGCAATCATGATAATCTTCCCAAATCCTAACTCTATTTAATCTAAAGCAATTATTGTTGAGTTTTGTACTATTCCACTCAGCTTACACGTGTTCTGGATTCTGGGTTGCATTTAGGATCTTAAAGTTCTAATTAAGCACATAAAGGAGAATATTGTATCTGATACCTCTGAATGCTAGAACTGTAAGGATTTCAGAGCACAAAAATATTTGGCTGTTTGCTTTTAATCTAATCCACTCTGTCTTTGTATAGATAAAGAAACTGAAGAGGCAAGTACTCATGACCTGGAAAACCAACAGATGGTGGGGACTACAACCCTGGCCTCTTGAATCTCAGTCCAGGAATCTGCATACCAGAGTATTTGGAGGGAAATTTTTATTCCTACAGTTTGATGGGAAAAGCACTTCTACTCCATCCTCAGGAGGTAGCAGTGCAGGCTTACAAGAAGTATAAGGTCTTAGATCAGCTAGGTCAAGAGTTAGCAAACTTTTCCTTTAAGGGTCTGAGAGGCTTTGTGGGCCACGTGGTCTGTATCACAGCTACTCAACTCTGCTGCTGTCATTCAGAAACAGCTATGGGAAAAAGGGAAATACACATGGCTGTTTTAATAAAACTTTATTTATGGATGCGGAAATCTGAATTTCATATAATTTCCATGTGTCAATGACATCCTTCTTTTGGTGTTTTCCCAACCATTTTTAAATGTAGAAACAACTCTTTGTTTGCAGGTCATATAAAAACAGCAGTCTAGATGGGACCTGTGGGCTGCAGTTTGCTTCCTAAGTTCAGAAACAGATTCCAGTCTGCATGTGGTAAGCAAACCAGACAGTCTGTCTGCAGCAGGCTCAAGTAGGTCACTGCTTTTCTCTATTCTAGTTTCTCTCCCTAGGTGAGTAAACATGGTGGGCCCTCTGCATTTTAAAAGAAGAAAGGAAACAAAAAGCCCTGTTTTGTCTCAGGTCCAATTCAGATCCTAATGGCCAAATCCCTGGTGTGATAAAGCTGGACCCACTTTGGGATCCTTGTGTCTACCATTAGCTAACAGAAGCTGGAGGACAGGAAGGGTGTTTAGAACCCCAAACCTTCCCACAAGACCACAATGCCTCTCTGGACCACGTGAGGCCCTTAAGGAGCTTTACTCTCCCTCAGCAAAAGCCTGGCATGTTTTAAAGAGAAAAAAGACTGCCTGTATCTTTCTAGGAAAAATGGTACGATTCACATTAGTGAATAGTGAGCTTCACACTACGGATAATTAAACACAAACATTAATGCATTTATAAAAAGTTAATTGTTTAACAGTATTAAGTTGAGTCTACCTCCCTGAAGAGCCTCTGCTTCTTTGTCCCCACTAACTGATCCGGAAATCATGTTCACGTGATGCGTCTGCTGAGTCAGGTACTCCTGGAAATCCTTCACAAAGTCCAAAGGTTCTGGTTTCTTTTCACCCATCCTTGTTTTTTATTTTTTATTTTTTTTTTTTTCAGAGTTTACAGTTCGTTATGCCTACAGGGGAAAAAATGAAATTATTTTACACTATTTAGGAAAATACAGTACGTATTAAAACAACATGACAAAGATTATTATGTGCCAGGCACTACAAGGGGACACGGTCCCTGCCTTTAAATATCTTATAATCTTCCTGGTGAATTAAAGACGACATACATAAACTGGTGAACAATAATATTTAAATAAACTGGGATTCAAATTTCATTAAACAGAAGGCTACCAGCATCCCAGGACTAGTGCCTCTGTGTACTCGTGAGGGCTTCACAACCCTGACTTGTGAAACTGCTGGGCCACAGGGTATGTACACAGTCAGCTTTAGATAATGCCAAAGAGTTTTTCAAAGTGACTATACCAATTTACATTCCCACCAGTTGGTGAACAAGAGTTCTGTTGCTCCACATCCCCACCAACACTCAGGTATTTTTTTGCCTTTTCCATTTTAGCCATCCTGGTGGGTGATGGTGGTATCACACTGGTTTTAGTTTGTATTTCTTAATAACTAATTAAGTTGTGTACTTTTAATGTTAATTAGCCACTTAAGATACCCTCCATTTCATACCCAGTGATGTATCTTTTCAAGTCTTCTGCTCATTTTTCTATTACGTTGTCCATCATTTTCTAATTAATATAAAAGTTCTTTATAAATATTCTGGATATAAGTTCTTTATCAGCTATGTGTATTTTAAGTATCTTCTCCCACTCTTTAGCTGCCTTTTCACTTTCATAATGGTAAATTCTGATGAACAGAATTTCTTAATAAAAATTTACCCATTTTCCCCCTCACATTTAGAGTTGTCCGTGTCCTTGCCTATCTTACTAGAAGATGTTCTCCTGTATTTTCTTCTAAAAGCTTTATAATTTTTTTAATCTTCCATATTTTTATCTGAAATTGAGCTTTGTGTATGGTGAGTTAAGAGTCAAAATACACTTTTTTCCAAGGAGATAGCTAACTGTCCAAGCAATATGCATTTGATAAACCAGACCTTTTCCACCAGACTTTCTATCACCTTTCTAAATCAGGTGATTATATATGTGATTCTATTTCTGGATTGTCTGTTCTGTTCCAACGGTCTACTTTGTCCATCCTCACACTAACATCACCAGTGTCAATAATAAAAATCTTAGTATCTCAGTAATCTAATCCTGCCAGTTATGTTTTTCTTCTTCAAGAATGTTTAGACTACTTTGGGTCCTTTTCAACCTAAATTTTTCAGTGGCAAGAACTGTGGGGTTATGGAAATGAGAGGAAAGCACATTTTCCAATTAACGTAAGCTTGATCAATGTTTTAAGAACCCAAACTTCTACTTTAATTGACTTTACTAGAAATCTAATGTAAATAGACCAACCCTTGACCGTGTAGCTACTATAAATTGTTGCAGCGAGAGACTGAGGAGCTCAGAAGGAGCGCAGGGCTGGTGCTGGTTTCCCTGGTTTTCTGGTCTCAGACTGATAGAGATATATATGGCTTACGATATGTTCTCAGATAAGGGTAGCTATTTCTGCAGCTAAAAGTGGTTATACCTGGGATTGTGAAACTCCTCAGTGTCCCAGATTCTAAGGTTTTTCCTTTTTTCTATCACTTACTGAACACATTATGTCATTTTATGTAACTGTTCCTTAGTTGCAACGAAAGGAACATGATCCACCTTAGTCTCATTCATGTATCCAAATCTGCAATTTCCCAAATCAATTTGTGATTTCCCAAATTCAACTCTTATTTTACTCTTTTAGGATTCCTCTTTAAATCACTTGGTCTAGCCTGGCTCAGCTTTCTCAATCTTAAAAATTATTGCTGGTTTCTAAACAAGTTTGTTTCAGTTGTTTTTTCCCAGTTTTACCATATTTACTTGAAGTGCTTCTCTGTTTCCTAATCATTGTATTAATATTTGTTTTGTGACTTGTGTAGTTGATTCGGCTGTTTGTCCTTTAAAATATGCCCTTTGGTTAGAAAAAAAGTGAGCCAATCAGCAATTATCAAGAATAAAATAAAAAAATCAAGAACAATCTATAACATTATATTTTAAACCAAAAAAAAAAAAATCCCCCCAAAACCCTCAAAACATACAGGGATGGGGAGCAACATATAAGAATACATAAAAAGGTAAGAAATATAGCCGATAAAGGTGCAGAATGTACTCCAGGAAGACAGAGGAAAACAAAGAAGAGAAATGCTTTTTAAAAAAAGTGATCAAGAAATTTCTAGAATTAAAGATCCCTTTCAATCTAGTCTGTAAGGGATCACAGAGTGCAAAATAGAATATATAATAATAAAAATAAACTTAGACGTATTACTGTAAAATTTAACAATCTCAAAGACAGAGGATAATATAAAACTTTCTAGAGAGAAAAGCCAACCCACTCATTAGAAAAACAATCAAGTAACGAGTATCAATGGCAACACTGGCTGCAAGAAAACAAGAGAGTAATTATTTATTCAAACTTAGAATGTTTGGTAAAGGATAGCTTCCAAAAATCTACATCACAATGGAGAAAATTTAGATGCATTCCCTTTAGAATCAAGAAAAATGCTATTCAACACAGTACTGCAGGTAGAGGTCCCCCCTATAACATAAAAAGGAAAAAAGTAATAAAAGGTAAAAGGATTGGGAGATATAGAAAAAGAAAAGTAGGATCTGGGAAACTGTTTTTTAAACTATAAAAGCTGTAAGGCCCTGCAGACTGTCTTTGTTCTAAAAGCTGTAATTTAGCAAGAAGTCCTGGTATTTCATTGCAACTGAGCATAACTTAATCAGTTCAAATGAAAACTGACATTGCCACTGTAAAATATCTGAATATACTTCGATAGGCTTCAATAAGCAAGATAAATCTTACCAAATCCTGATTAGAAAGCAAAACACTGCTACAGTACATGTGACTAAGCAGAAAAAAATTCACGAGATTACCATTAAGCAAGCAGAAGAAACTGGTATTTTTATACATGCATCTCAAGTTTTAAGAACACAGATGAACCTAATCACAGAGGACGACTGGCATATTTTGACAGTCTTGGCTGTTATCACACTGTCACATTATAAATTTCACTGTGTTCTCTGCCATAAATTTTGTGTTGATTTTCAATCATAACGCGTGATGGACTTGAAAAAAAACAAACGATGCCAATGAAAAAAGAAAAGATAACACTGTAAACATGAGAGAAATTCTATTCTTAGAGTTTTAAATATACTGGTATGGTTTATAGCTGCAAACATTCTGCAATGATTTAAAAATTGTCATTCTATCCCTAAGCTTTTTTATGCCCACTTGACCTACATCACCTCTGTCCTACCCCCATTCTCCCACTTCCACACACAGCGTTACAGGCTCTTGCAGAGCTCTAGTCTATGGAACAGATGAGCATGAATGAAAGATGCCTAAATCTGAATGGAGTCTCTGGTTCAAAACCCAGCTTTCTCCATCTCAAGTCAGTATTTCTAAGGACAATAAACAGAGAAATAATTAACTCGAAACCACAGAAGACTTCTCGATATGAAAAAATTAAGATTCTGTATCCAAACCATCTTCCTGTCTTTAATAAAGCAATCAGCCTCAGGACTGAATGTTCAATCTAAGAACTCCACAAATTAACTGACTTCTGGAGATGCCACTGAGACACTGATATATTCTGCAAAAGTTTTTAAATTTAACATAAAAATCTACTTTAGGAAGCAGCCAACTATAATGCTCTCATTTCCATACTTTATGATTATCACTTTTTATGATACAGCAGAATTTCTGAGCCCTCCCTGTGATTACTCTGATTAAAGTTGAGCTTGGTTTAGTATGGTATTCCACGCGGTATTATACATGTCTATACAGAAACTGGCTAGAATGCACCTGAATTATTTTTATGCCAACAGCTCTCCCAAATTACCCATTACAAAGCTCACAAATTGGTTCTTTCAAAACAATCAGAGGCTACCCATGCAAATGAAGGAAAGCATCACTTGAGAAATAAGCTCTGATATCCCAAAAGGATACAAAAACCTCTTTATCTTCAGCCTTCCTTGGTTTCTGATATTCAAGTCCTCGGATCTTCTGTAGTCTCATAAATGGGAAGTGGCTGATGAATACATACACCCCCTCTCTTAACCAGGAGCTAACAACTTAAAATAGAGGCATCACGATGCAAATTAGAAAACAACCACATCTATGAAACAGAGGTACTATAAGAACCAGAAGAGGCTCTTTAAGCTACCTTCCTCCCTAAGTTTATCTTTTTTATAAGGTATGGGAGATTTTGAGACCAACATGATTAGGGAATAGTAGGATCTACTTTATTCACCTACCATTTCTGAGAAGGGTTATTAAACATAAAGTAGTTGACTTAGCAACTAACTGCATTATACAGTTAGTTAGCTTGGGGTTTCGGCAGTCCTACACACATAAAGTGATTGCAGTTCAATAGATGTGTTTACTTTTATAGCATAATTATGGTCACTAAAAGATTTATTTAGCCACAGAATACATATCAATGGAGAAGTCTGATAAGTACAGCTTGGTTTGTACAGAGAATAACAAGCACCTTCAAAAAGAATTAGAATACATTTCCTCTGATTACAGAACTGTCAAAAACCAAATTCTTTGAAGGCAAAAAGCAACATTATGAGGCTTTGAGAAGTCAGAAAACATAATATAAAAGTAAAACAACATAAATAAATACAAGTTAGAAGAAATAAATGAGGAGTTACACAATCTAACCTTTTCACCCCAAATCAGTTCCTCCTTTCTCTTGCCACTCCAACATTGATGAAATGTAGAGTAATAGAAATTTACTCTGGAGACACACCAAAGGGCTCCAAAAGGCCATGGAGGGAATTTCAACTAAAATTGAAAAGCCATACAGCAGTCTGCAAAGAAAAACACACCAGGAATCAAAACCTTTGTGACAAAAAATTAGCATCTACAAGTTTAACAAGCTAATAAACCAACTTGCGCCAATCTTACCATTACCAGGAAAGAAAATTATGCTAAGAGATAATCAGTGAACAAAGCAGCAGGTTCACTTCAGCAAAAGCTCCTAAAATAATCACCAAAGAGTAACACACACTGGTGTGACTATCTTCCCCCAACCCAGGTGGATTTCTTAAGATTTCATTTTTGACAAAAATTTTAATGTCTTTCTAAATTCAAGTTATTAATTTCAAGTACTATGGTACACTTCTAAATGGCTCAGGCTTAGTATTGCTGAACAGCTAGAGTTGCATAAAAACAATGTCGAGCCTATCCCCAAAGGGAAACATTTGTGGGAAAGGGTTTAAAAAAGAAAACCCACCACGCACGCCCGGTAAGGGCACATCTGATCCCTATCTTTATTATGCTCTCTATCGCAACCCAAAACACTTAGGGTTTTCTGGGAAACACGCTGGGCCCCTAGAGACCAAAACCACCAAACATCTCAATTCGCTGTAACGAGTTCCCAAGATTATATTACCCTGTAGCTAGGATGAATGCACGACATAAGGTAAAATTAAAGGGAATTTTAAAAATTGTTAGTCCAGACGTTTAAAAAGTTGCTCTAGAGAAGTTGTTTCTTCTAAACTGAAGTTCTTTAGATCTCACAATGTAAAGCGCTTTTATTTCTTCCCCCACTTATCACTCTTCTTTTGGGTCTGAACGGCACACTAAGCGGACACTAAACGGGCCACGTGGTTAGTGGCAGCTGGAACTGGTTTCACTTCAATTCAGATTCACAGTTAACGAGCACTTACTGGGTACGTCGCTTGGCTACTCACACTCCGGACAGTTTATTAAAAGTCTTAAATCCTTCACGAATCTGAACAGTTCTTGGCTGCAAAGTACCCCCCCCCGAAACCTCACATCTCCCCCAAATTAAGACTGCACAAGCAGTACAAACGGATCCAGGAAGGATCGTTAGATAAAAGCCAGAGGTTTTAAAAATCCTCCCAATGAGCAGTCCGGAACTGGCGTCGGGGCGGCATTCTCATCAGGATTTGGAGACATTCCTCACTAAGATTCGGAACACCTAGGAGACTCTCGCCTCGCCTGATCCCCTGGCTCCGGGCCCAGATGAAGACGCAAAGCTCGGGGAGCTCCTCTCACAACCACCTGTCAGAGCGAAAGGCAACTCCCTACCAGGGAGCCTCCTAGGACCTCCCCGACGGCGACGCCCCAGCAGGCACCGCTCCCTCGGGGTTCCCGTGGCCGGACACCGTAC